CTCTGACAAAGCATGGAATCGGAGCATGTCATCATGGCATGCTTGTAGCGATGCCACCGAATTTGTGGTTAGTGATCGGGCAACATTGAGCCTAAGTTCGTTGATTTTGTCAGTGAATGACTCGTCTTGCTTTCGACGAAGGGCATCAAGAGCTGAGCCTATCCCAACGTTGAACTCTTCAGTTCCTTGTTTGGCACAAAGGTCAAGATAACCCTCTAGCTTGTCCCACCTGCTCATTATCCATGAAGCTTCAACTGCAAAGGGCAGGAACCGTGAAGCGGCTGACTCGTTTTCTTTGAGAACCTCGAAACGAGTGAGAATAGCATCTAGATACGGGTCAGCAAGCAGATAGAGGATGCAAAGACTGGAATTTCTCATGTTTGATTTTACCTTGTTGGCCAGATTCTTTGAGACATGTCACAAGATTCCATTGCGCATCGACGTTGTCAGGTTCCTTCTCGAGTTGTAGCTCGTACCAACTCTGCGCCGTAGCCCACCTCCCAGCTTTCCGGTGCTCAAGGATCTGCTGGTCAATGTCTAGTGCGGACAAGTGGCTTGAAATGCCTTCAATTCCATCAGGTTCGTCAATCTGGCTATAGATGTCTTGTAACCTCTGGTATAGAGGCTCGAGGTTGGATCTCTCTTGTGATTCTGGGTGGACCTTGGATTTCCGAATGTACTGTTCCCAGTGGAAAAGTGCTTTGGAGAATGATTTACATTCAACGGCTCGCTTAGAGATGATCTCGGGCGGTATTAAGGATAATAGATTTTCGACAGACTTGATCTGCGATGAGTATTTATCAATGAGAGTGTCACGGGTTTGATCTTTATGGGAACGACTCGTTTGGTTGGAATTGTGATTGAGGCCGTTGAGATGCTTTTTCTTTCCTTGCAGCCATCTAGACAGGTAGTCTAGCACTTCAAAAACGCTCTACCGTTGAATAAACGATCATCGTCAGTACGAGGAAAGCCAGTTCAATTCCACGGGGATTCTCACCTGGCTACTGCTTATGATTGTCTCACGAGCATGGTTGTTTGTCTCCGGAATAGGATGTGAAAGAACGCTCATCAATTCATGTTGAAGATTATGTTGTTCTTGTACAGTTCCTCCCACAATACGGTTCAGAACCGCAAATGGTAAAAGGAACGAAGAGATGGAAATGTCTTGACCCTTCACAACACGACTCGATATCGAGAAGACCATTTTTGCGTTGTCTCCGTTCCCAGTTTGAAGAAGATCTTGCACCAGTGTCCGAAGCCACTCACTGTGGGTCAATTTAGGGGAAAAGAGCGGATAGTTGACATCGGTATGATTGGTCACAACAGTGACCGTATAGGTAGATGTAAGAAATGGCGTAAGAGTGTTGCGGACACTTTCTGGAAGCTCCATCCAGCGTTGATACTTCTCATCGCCTTGCAAATCGCGAGAGCGCTGGGTCAATACCGCATTCAGTTTGCAAAATTTGAGCAGGCCTTGCATGGCCCATGCTAGGAAACCCTGAGCCCTAGTATTGGAGGCAGACAAGAATGCATCAACCAAAACATGCTGGAGGAAGAAAAGAATGAATGCGACTGTCTCTTCCATTCTGTCAAAGTTAGACAAGACAAGTATATCTTTCTTCTCTTTGATTGTTTCAACTCGGTTTGGATCGAGACAGCCGACAAGCCCTAGGCACCGAGCTGACAATAAAGTAATGCTGTCTGAGGTGGTACTAAACTTAACACAACAGTCCAGCAATGACCTAGTTAACTGAGCAATCACAGGATCTGGCTGTTCACTCAGAACAGAGTCATGGAGAAACTCCTCATTTGCCGACAGGAAAGGGGCCAACTCCATTAGAGCCTGTTCAACAACGGTGGCATTTTCACTCTGGCAGCGACGAATTAACGCCAGAAACTGGCTTCGGACGTCCATTTGGGCTCTCATGTCATTGATTTTGGCATCAAAGGTAGCCATCTCTGGAATGAACGCAAGAGAAGGCATCGTGTTAAAGGTATCTCGTACAAGACTCGAGTGATTCGTCAAGATATGATCGATGAGTTGACATGCGCGGTTCCTGCTCTCTTCGGTTAGGTTATCCCAATATCTGATCACAATCGCTAGCGTTTGATCAATTATTGGCTCAAGGTCCTCTTCGCTAAGAGAACTAATCAATGTCTTCCACGCGGAGAATGCATAATCACACAGTTCCTCGATATCGAGTGCGGATCGAAGACATGCACAAACCTGCAATGTTTAGTAACTAAAATTGTCCGATTCCAAAAGCTGTATACATACCTGAGGCAATGCACTGCTAACATGACCCTGGGCAATATTGATCATTTCCTCAATGGCTTTGATGTTTCTTCTTTTCTCTGCCAGCGTTTGTCTCACTTGGAAGTCGTTAATGGCATTTGCGAACTGTGTGATAATACCGAGAACGTGCTCCTCGATGAAGTGGCTTAGGTCTGCTTTCTTCGACGAACTTCCATGTGCAATCTTTCGCGGAACAAATGTGGCTAGTCTATGGAGGGCTTGGTTGAACTGAAGGGACTTTTATTAGCGGCGCAGGAGGAGTGAGAAGAAACAAGAACATACCCTCTCTTTCTTTTGCTCCCCCGCATCCCCTAGGCTCTTCAGCAAGTCACAAGCAATGAGAATTGGTTCAATTCTCACCAACTCCGCCAAAGATCGGCCCTTGAACGCGGGGTCTATATCTGCTAGAAGGGACATGATCATAGCCTCCGGGTTATCTGATTGCTGAGATAGGAGGAAAGCAAGGATTGCTGCCAAGTTATTCTTCTCCGAGCAAACATCAAAAGCAGACTCGCCTTCGTTGCGACTAGCCCCGATTCTGCAAATGATGTCTCGTTTTCGTGTTGAGACCAGGTAGGGCAAGACATGAACTTCGGTCAACCGTAGGAAACCATCAACCTTCATGCCAAGCAAATCACATAACTGTTCAGCCATATACGGGCGAGATTGGAGGTTCTTGACCACGGTCACTGAAAGGGTCCTCCAGTAAGGCCGAAAGAGGCCAGCAGGTGTCAAGGAAAATTGTTGGGCAAGTTTGGATAACTAGATCCAGAGGTAAGCTGTCACCATATCGGTTGAAATGAAGAGCAAAGTAATCAGAAATAGAATCTCAGGGGTACTCACCTCGTTGTAAGCTACGGCGCAAATGTAGGGGTTTGGATGGCCGAGGTACTCCAAGAGCCGTAGGAGAATGATGTTCTTCTCTTCATCTTCCGAGACACTATATATGACAAATCGTGAGCTGGGGTAACGAGATCTTGATGAGTAGAAACGCACGTTGCCAACCTGCAGAGTGTTATGATACAAGCTTCCTGTAACGGCATATCATCTTTTCCGGAAACATTTTTGAGCCACTCAAGCACAACAACGAAATTAGCCCGACGGATATCTGTTGGTAGATTTGAGCGCACGAAAGCAACTACTGAATGGCTATATAATAGTCAGTATCAAGTGCTAGTGTGCCTTTGAGGACCATGGAACGCACCCAGTTGCAACACGCAATTCTCTGATTGAGCTCCGGAGCGAGTGAAGACAGAATTCTCCGGAGGCAGAGTTTGAAATGTGCATTTGATTGGAGTTTGGAGCATGCATCAAAATTCTTCTGAGTGCGACCATTGCAGATATCCGAGGACCAGGCGGACGTGTAAGCTTGGGTAAGATGAAATTAAAAAGTGACCATATCTCCTCAAATCCGGGGTGCTCCTCATTTCCCGCACGATCATTCTGATACTGATCCGTATCGCATGTCTGACAAAAGAGTGTGTCTCGTTTTATGACATCCGAGGGCTTCCTCAAAAGCTTCCCTGCCGTTGCACAGCAAATTTTGCCTAGGTTGTCCAATAGCTCAGTTTTTTTAGATTCAGAAAGTTCATCATAGGATGTTCTTTTACACAGACAAATCAGCATTTCACACCTTAAGAAGTGTCCGTTGTCTACTCACTGGATAGAGGTGCGCAGATCTGCCATCGTTTTGCCACAGTCAGATTGAAGAATCGCTGATACATTCCCTACAAGCAGATGAAACAGGCCATGATTGGTAGATCCTATTGGTGGACCTGGAAGACAGAGCCGCTTCGATGGCCGGGCGTATTCATTCGGCTCTGCTTGGTGTAAAACTCCGGCTCTCTGAAATGCCGCGTCTGGCTCCTCATAAACATCCCCGGGTAACCCTTTGGGTGAGTACACTGTTAATGGCGGTGCTGTATCTAGAAGCTGGGTATGCAAGGTCTGCAGAGGACTCTGATCTGGTATTAGCTCGGTAACCCACCTGTGCTAGATATGAGGGGGGCGGAGGCTCACCCAGAGACACGAATCAAGGGACTGGAAGATGGAATCGCCGTCTTTGACTTCCGTCAACACTGGAAGCAGGGTTTCCCTCAATTGTTGCACTAGAGACTGAGAGGATTTTGCGGTTTCTGTCAAATCGCACAAGAAGCGACCTAGAATGACCTGGACAGAAGGAAGCTTCCCTATATTCTCAAGGGTCAAAAAACCACAAAGGCATTGGGACCAAGTAGATGTCAGGCTCATGTTTGAGAGCAATCCAGCCAAAGTCGAGTCTGGTACGCAGCATCGGTGCAAATATGTCAGATATTGCAAAGGAACAATTGCATCTTCCGATGTGAGTTGTGCTCCTTTTGTTTGCAACCACTCGATAATGACCTGTCTTAGTCGATGAAAACCATTCAACACCCACGAGAAGTTTTGGCGGAGGATGAAATCATGATGTTTTGCATGAGGTTGTATTTCGCCCCTCGGATTAAAAGAATCAAGCAATCGACAGGCCAAAGAAACTGTCTGCGCAAAGCCTCCAAGGTCCGTGTTTTTCTTGAATAATTCAGGGGAGAGACCTAGGTTTTGGGCGTCCTCAATAAGCGACCCATTTGCGGCAGGTATCGACAGCCCTCTGAGGCGTGCATCCCAAGGATTGCTCCGTTGAAATATTTCAAGGGAACATAAAATATCTAGCAAATGTTAGTTTGGCTCAGGGTTTTACATAGTCGGGGGCAAAGAACGGACCTGACGTGCAAGCACGTAGAAATGCAGCAACGGCATAGCTTGCAGGCAATGAACGGGGTTGCTTGAACTGGGAATAAGCTAGGCTCGTACAAAGAAGTTGGATCTTTTCTCGAACGGTTTCGGATGTCCAGGTCGTGGCGAGTCGGATCAATCGTAGGATTAGCCATGCGAATAGAGGAGCATGTATGTCCTCACCCAGGATGAAAGGGTCTGAGTTTTCCCATAAAGCTTGGGGGGCTTTCTCAATGCTGGTCTGGATAATATCTAAGCAGTCGAGGACTTGCCCTTCCCGATCTTGCTCTGATGTGTCCCCGTGCGGGCTGATCTCTAGGCCGGCCTTTAAGACAATGCATATGAGTTTGTTGACATCAGTGACATCTTCGTCAACACGTAGTTGACTTTGTATTTCACTAAGAAGTTCCCGGCGAAGCTGTGCAAACGTTTCCCGGGTTAGGTGTGTTTCATTTCCCTGGGTTGCGAGATGCGGTACGAAACGCGAAGCAAGGATCGACGAGGCAGGTTCAGCTCTCCAAGCGTTCCCAGACACGGCGGCCCGTTCATTCTCTCCCTCGGTTGCCATATGGGACACACATGTTCATAGGAACAGGTTTGAAAATTCAATTCTTCGTGTTTAAATAAGTTTCCGAGGCTGGGTTGTGTTCGTGTGGGTGTTTGAAGTGCGCAGATACGCGGAGAGAGTTGATATGTCAATTGACACCTGAGGCATCAACTATCCGGAGTACATGTAGTAATAATAGGAATAACATCGGAGCTTATGATCACTTGAATCACGGTTTATAATTCTATGAATTGGCTTTATAACTACCAAGTCAAGCAAATGAACCGTGGTAATTTTGTAGAGAGGTCTTCTACGTATATGGTGACTTGAATTGAGACCTGTATATATGTACAAATTGTTGAAGAAATTCGGAAAATTCGGGGGTAAAAAAAAAAAACAAAAAAAAAGTGAATATCGATACGTGCTATATATGATCCAACAGATCCAATAGAAATCCCAAGTATGTGACCATCGTATCATGTTAAATCGGGAACTGTGGCTCAGAGTTGGTCAACCTCATCTTGAAATTTCGGGTGCCACTGCACTACACTTTACTCTCTTCTAACTCCTTCACTTCCTCATAACTATGAGATACTTCACCAGTCATTGGATTCAGGTCAAATAAATCTAACATTTACAGATAAGAGGCATTTCTAATTGGCTATGGAGCTCAATGGTGACTCTGTTGTGGCGGAGGATTCGAGACATGGGCATTTCATGAAACAAGCCTTGTTGATGGTACAAAACTTCTTGATCCCGGGGAATCGAAACATGCTCATTCAGATACCAGGGTGAGAAGGCTCTTCAGTCAGGTGAAACTCCCGTTGGTTGTGTCCTGGTGCACAACGATCAAATTGTGGGGTCTGGCATGAACGACACAAACAGATCTATGAATGTGGGTGACTCTGAAAAATCTCAATGCATAGAAACCGCTAATATGCCCTAGGGAACGAAACATGCCGAGTTTATAGCGATTGCAGAGATGCTCCAAAGCTACCCTAGGTCAGCATTGCAAGCTACTGATCTCTACGTTACGGTTGAACCATGTGTGATGTGTGCTTCCGCGCTGAAGCAGTACCGTATTCGCAGTGTGTACTTTGGGTGCGCCAATGATCGATTTGGAGGTACTGGAGGTGTTCTTTCATTACACTCCGAGTCAGTATATCCCAAGAAACGCCGGCAACCGATCGTGCAAGGCTAATAATCAGCTACAGCTCCTCAATTGACCCATCATACCCTGTGTACGGTGGGCTGTTTAAGGAAGACGCAATCATGTTGCTCCGTCGTTTCTATATACAGGAGAACGAAAAAGGTAGGACCTAGGACACACAAACCCCAATCTCGATCACCTACTGATTACATCCCAGCTCCTAACCCCAGGCCGAAAAAGAATCGGGAGTTGAACACTAGATTCGAAGACGGGAACGAAGCAGCGCCACCAACCTGGTAGGCCGCAAGACTCCGATTCGGGATGTCTTCAAACCTCATTTACTACGCGATACCTTCAGGGCTGGATTACATTTGATTTTGATACGAATGGGGAATTATTAATTCCAAAGGGCATCTCCATATAGATATGAAAAGCGTGAAGGTTGATCAGAACGGGAATCTGTATTGTGAATATCAATTGCGCCCCCAAAAACACACACAAAATCGGATATGTGTACAAATCTGCAATACTGAACGGAAAGGCTGCCCATCATTCTTTTTTTTCCTTTCTAGTTGATGGTGTATATTCATGAAGAGCCAGTGCGCTCTGCCTCCAATTCCTGTTCGGCCTGCTGGTAGTATTTGGCAGTGTCCACGCCATGCTGATACAAAATGAATCAATATCATCCCGTCAAATTGCATTGAATGGTGGACTTACCTGATCATGGTTGACAAAGTTGAACCATGGGACGACATGGATGAAAAGTTCTGAGTACCGCGAGTTGCGGGCTGCCATGCCTTGTAGATAAGGCGACATTTGGGATTTACCATACAGAGGCTCGCCCTTCTTAACTTTGTCGACCATCTCACGAGTGTCCATTTCGACCTCTCTAGCATTCTCAGTGAAGCCATAAAAGCGCTCTGTGAAGGTGTGAGGTTAAGATGTCATCCACAAAAAGTGAGCGAGGGTTCAGGTGGAGGAATATGGCTTACGGCAGGATCGCTGATAGAGAACATGAAGACCACCAAGCAGACCAACAGCTGTCGCGAGTCGCATAACGGGAGCAAAACCACCACGGCCTACATGCGACGGACTTGCTCTCTCCATGATCCAGAACGAGATAGGAGCAGCCGAGGCCATGCCGCCAGCCACGGCCCAGTCGGAAGGCCGGGCATATCCGAAAACCCGTTTCAAATGCCTGAAAAAGATGTGAGCTTGTGACAAAATCTTAGAATCCGGGGTAAAGCGTACGGGTCGGAATCAATCAACTGTGGGATATGTTAGCAAGAGACGTACGCGAACGAGCAATCGGAGATGGCAAAATAGCAGCCCCGGGTCATAGATCAATCATACCGGGTAGTCAGTGCTAGCCCGCTTAGAGGGCACAATGGCTGCTTTGGTATCGGTCGCCATGTTGCTTGAAGTGTGGATGTGCAAGCATTCGAGGTTGAAGTTCTGGGAGTTGGAGGGAGAGGACGAAGCTAACCAAATATGGCTTAGCACAATTAAGGCGGACAAGAGGCCCGACAGCCAATCAGAGCGCAGGTAACAGACCACTCGCGTCACGCGTCAAGGCCGCATCTGATTGATTGGGATCCCAAGATAGTGGCTTCTCATACACGAAAGTTGAATTACTCCAATCTAGGTGCCACCTTCTTCTTCTTCTTCTTCTTCTTTTTTTCATTAACCCATCCACTTATCTGATCCTCTCAAATCGACACCTTGGTACAGTTGTACCTAAAACAGTATCTGCGCGCGATTGGAACTATGGCGAACGCGAACGTTTCAGAGCGCGGAAGCTCACCGACAGCGGGTGATTTGAATGATCTTTTTGATTATGACATTGGTTTGGATGAGATTATCCCAGATAACAATGCCCCCAATACCAACAGCACCAAGGCCTCTGGGACAGGGGATTCCGCACTTGGTTTGGGTCTTGATGAAGAAGTCAAAGTCGCAAAGAAACGACAACCTGTGGCCAAACTAGATGAGGGCCGGTGAGTCTCACGTGCTACCTTGCTTCTTGAATGAAATACCTCATTTTGTTTTGGGAGACAACCTGGAGCTATAACAATGCTGATGAATAGGCTAGTTTACTCTCACAACCGGGCATACCCAAACTGCGCCATACTGCCAGACAGAAGCTAAAATTCAAGGGGAAAGGACAAGAGGTTGGTTATATTGTCTATCCAACATACTCAAGGTATGCCTAGTGTAACTGACTTGGGTTTGTTATAGTTCAAGGACGCCGCACGCTTGCTCAACTTTTACCAGCTATGGCTTGATGATCTATTTCCACGCGCAAAATTCGCAGACGGTCTAGCAATGATTGAGAAACTGGGACACTCAAAACGCATTCAGTCCATGCGACGAGAATGGATAGACGAGGAGAAGCCGAGACTTTTCAATAGCTCCGGACCTACAAGAGAAGAGCTCGAAAATCGCGACTTCCTCAAGAACCCTGCAGATTCCAATCATAGCCCAGCCGCGTTTACTGAGGACCAGCAAGGGGCTGCGGACCAAGACCTGTTTATTCCAGACCCACACGAGAGCGCACGCCCTAGAATTAGCTACCCTGAGCCCGAGGATGATGATTTGGAGGATCTTCTCAGAGAACAGGATGAGCCCATGATTGATTTCACCCCCGACATGCGTGCCTCATCTTCAAGGGCACCAAACGACGATAATGACGACTATGATGCTGAATATGAAGCGATGAAGGAGCTTGGGATGTAGTTGTGAAGACATCTTACCATGTACAATAAATTTTAATGACAGCGATGGAATATGTTTAACGCTGATTGCTGCCAGACCATAAGTATGCATGGCTCAGCCAAGGATTAAACAACTGGACATCGAATGAGTCTATAAACGTAGAATTACTAGAAATGACACATTGGATCACATTGAAGAAAAGGAATTAATTTCAAATAGCATGCTAACTGAGCGGAATAACCGGAGATTGCAAAGCAACTCTTCATGTACTGCCCTGGAAACGAGACAACACGTAGAAGGCAGAAAAAGACACATTAGATGTTACAATGAAGGAAGGATAGGTCAATGGTATTGACCTCACACGCTGGCAGGCTCTGTGAACACAGAGAACTGACCGCCAGCACCCGCCCAGTTCAATTTCTTTCCACGAGTAGCAGTGTTGTCGATAACAGTAGCTACCTCGATGTCATCCTGTGTACCTTGTCCAGTTTGGTATGTAGCCGAGAAACCCCATGACCATGCACGGCCATCGGCATCGATAGCGAGAGAATGATCCGAGGCAGCCGCCACAACCTTGGCCTTGATGCCAGGGACGGGAGTTGGTGCGATCAGGATGCGGGGGCGATCACGCTCATCCTTGATGACGGCGTCATCGGAAAGTGTATCGATCTTCAGGCCGCTCTGGAAACCGTCGAGACGACCCCAAACCAAGCATTCACCATCACCAGCAATGGCAACCGAGTGATGAGCGCCACCGCAGATTTGGGAAATATCTCTGTTAGAAAGTGATTCGACAAGGGTGGGATGTACGATAGCAGCTTCGTCGTCACCGGCACCCTCGCGGAGGGCCGTTGCACCGAAGCTATTCAATCCCCAGGCATAGACGTTGCCAGTGGTGTGAACAGCAAATGAGTGGTACGAACCACTCCCGATGTGGACAATGTTCTTGGGAAGACCGAACTCTCGAGGCTGAAGACCATTCAACCTGTTGCGCTCCACGATCCGGCGACCGAGCTGATTCTGTTGTCCTGAGCCCCACGAGAAGACGCGACCTTGGTCGTTCAGGGCAAGAACGTGATTGGCTCCACAAGTCAGGTGTGTGATCTTCTTCAAAGACGAGATCAAAGTTGGGGTCGTTTGAACGTGAGAAGACGCGTCAAATCCGAGGATTCCATCGTTGCTCTAGAATGGTTGTTAGCAAAATAGACCGATCCAAAGTAGTCAGACCATCTTACTCTGAAAGTGCCCCAGCCATAGACCAGACCATCATCGGTCAGGGCAAAGCTTGCGCTATCGGCGGCGGCGACTTCAACGAAGACAGTGCCTTCGGGGAAAGCGGTGGCAGGGATAGCAGTGGGAATAGACTCCCGGGGGTTCAATCCGCTGTCTTCATCATCTGAATCGGAATCGCTGTCATTTTCAATGTCCTTGTATCCACCGTCCCATTCGGTTTCTCTTCCGAGCGCACCCTGGTCATTCACGCCCCAGGAGAATATTTTGTTGTCATGGGTTAGAGCCAGACAGTGCATGCCACCGACAGCAACCTGTACAACTCCGACCTCTTCGGCAGACAGAAGCTTGTTCAAACGTGGGCGCTTCACATCGATAACATTCTTGGCTGTGCCCAAACCTAGCTCACCAGAGCTACCCTCACCACAGACAAATACATTCAGCTTGGTCTTCGGGGCCTCATTGATGACAACTTTGGCCTTTGGCTTTGGCTGACGAGGTTGCGCGATACGAGATCTTTTGATTTCGCGAGGTTTCTCCTCATCCTCATCAGCTTTGCGCTTCTTCGTAGTAGAGGTCGACTTGGTAGATGTTGTCATTTTACTTGGCTTCTCAGTTGACTTGGTAGAGGTTGCAGTTGGCTTCTTGGTGGACTTCTTGGTGGACTTTGCGGCCGGCTTTGCATCTGGCTTTGGGGTTGACTTTGGAGCTGACTTTGGAGCTGACTTTGCAGGCTTCGTAGATTCTTTCAATGGCTGTTCGGTCTTCGTCACAAGAGCCTGTCTGGTGCTGGTACGTACTCGAGTACTTCTCTTTACCGTCTCCGCCGAAGCCTCGACCGACTTGGACGTGTTCTTCTTAGGGGGCATTTTGCCTTAAATTGAGCTATTAGAAATAGCAAAGAATGAGAAAGAACAGGGGGTGGGAATGTTTGAAGCTGAGATTGAAAGAACAAAAGGGAAAAGGTATGTAAAAGGGTAAAAAAAAAAAGACGCCAAGCCAAAACATAAGCCAAAACAATAGCACCTGGGCACATTCTCTCACCCAGCCACCTTTAATGGGCTGATTCATTTAAATCCATTGATGTTACGCGTTATTAGTTCCTTATTACGCGTGAATATGTTCTTAAATGATTTATTATTATTTCTATCTATAAATTGAATAGAACATCATTGAATGAAATTATGAAATTATGAAATTATCCCCTTTGGAATAGAAAAAAGACGTCAATGGGCTGTTTCTTCACGAATCTTGCCACACATAATCACATTTTGACCCAATGGCATCCATTTAACATCTCGAGGATTCAATGCAGCATTGGGTGTACCCTCCTGATCTTGTTTCGAGTCAGGGCTGACATTCACTCCACCGCGGCCAAGGTAGGTGGGCGCAACCGTCACAATAATCGAATCAATGAAGCTTGTATACTCTGGATTCAACAATTCACTCAGGACCGTACCACCACCCTCAATCATGACACTCTTAATGCCTTCGGATGCCAAGGCACGAAAGACGGCTTCCCAGCGTAATCGCCAGTGTTGATTGTATTCTACAATGCGGAGGAAATCTCCACCGTAGCCTTTGAGCATCACTAGTGTCTGGGGGTTGATTTGAGCCCCTGGAGATAACACAACCCATGGAGCTTTGCCTTTTCCTTCAACGGCAGTACGTAACATTCGGCATTCGGGATGAACAGGCCATCGGCCCATAGGATCAATGATCACTGGCCGTGGTTGCCACATTCTCCCCAGCCCTCCAAATCCACCGGCCCCTTCCAGACGGCAGTTCAGACCTGGATTATCGGCAAGAACAGTCCCTACTCCAACAAGAATGGCATCATGCCGGGAGCGAAGGTAATGGGTCATCAATTTGGCCTCCGGTCCAGACAATACCGTCTGCATCCCTGGTTGAAGAGAGATCTTGGAGTCCATTGACGATGCGTATGACAATGTAACATGGGGGAACTCCCGGCGCTCCGAGGGATTGGGAAGATAAGGATGTAAGAAGTCTAGCGAAAATTGAGGGAATGATAGTGTGTCCGGGGGCAAAGCTGACGAGATCAAAGTTGGTTTTGTTTGGGAGGACACCTCGTTGACACCATCGGTGCTTTGAGTTTTAACAATACCATGGCCCTTTTGATATTCGTAGCCCTCGTGGGCAACCAGATTCACCTCTGGATTTTGTATACGCCACTTGGCGGAGATGTTGCGGACGTCCGTCACCGTGAAGAACCGCCCTCCGGCCTCCCCAAGCTTGTCTGGTTCTTCTTGAAATTTGGTATAGATGGAAGAAGGGAGATATCCCTTCACAGATTCTTTGCGCGCGTACTCCATTAATCCCGAGTTCCGTTTCACTCGGTCGATGTAGTCAAGGTCATGTGAGTGGATGCTGCAACTTCCCGGCGTTCTCGCGATAGTGACGGTCGAATATGCGCCTTCGAACCGGACAACCTTGATTTGAAAGTTACAGATACCTCCCTCTCGGACTCGCTTTTTGCGAGGGCGCTTGCCCTCTGGTAAGGGGCGAGTTTCAGATGTGCGGTGTGTTGGACGTCGTAAACGGCACATGTAATAGTCGGTGGTGCAATGGCCCTCTTTGCTCGCATTTGATCTTTGTTTGACCCATACATTATCAATAAAAGGCCAGTATGTTTCAAACTCTTCGACACTGATTTCTATCGGGTCCTTGCACTCGAATAGGACTTTGCGGATGCGCGCTAGGTTCGGTGGATTGTTGAAAAGGCTGGGGGTAGCCTTTACACCTTGACTCGTTGGTGCGCTACTGTGAGTGTCTCCGGTAGTCGCACTGCGCTGTGTTGGCGTGTTCTCGTCACCGTGCAACGCTTGCTTATCAAGGGCACCGGATAGATTGATCGGGGTTGCGGTTTCAGGCTGGTCTTCGCCCATTGCGTCTCGTATATCACAGGCCCGTTCGATCTCTTGGTCTGTTTCCAAGACTTCTTTCGTCCGCACAGGAACTCCATTGTGCGGGGATCCTGCCTCGCTGTCAGAAGCCTCTAAGCTCGAGACAGACGCGTTGGAGGCATAGTCCATCCTGGGGAAGCGTGGGAGAATACAGGTATAGCTCTGTATTCCCAGCTATGGCGATGAAATGGCCATTTCTGTGGGGAGTAGCCCCAGATAGACACAGATATATACAGAGCCAAGTGTTGGAGAAGGAGCCTCGGGAAGAATTTAGTGGGGCGGAAGCATGATGGCCCGGACATGTCGACCATGTTCTGAGGTCCACGGGTATACCTAGGTAGTTATAGTTGGTTACTTACATAGATGTACATTTACTCCGCATGTAACTGGCTACATATATAGTACAAATGTATATCAAAATATCAAAATCCCAAAGCTACGACCTACCAGGGGAACATGAACCACAGATTGTAACTAGTTAGAAACCAAATAGAAATCATTAGAAAGATTGACCACTGCATTCTCTTCGATCATATTATCAGAGACAATGAAGCACAAAAAAGTATCTCAATATCTCGAAATCTCAAATCACATCTAATATGCCCCGATATCCGCCCCAGCACGAGCCAGAGTCTCATAGACTCGTGGCGGCAATTTGTACTTGACCATTCCCGAGAACACCATAAGATCCTTAGCCATGACAAGCAAAGTATCCGCCAATCCCTGGCGCACTTCACTGTCGTACATTCCGAAGGTACGCTTTTGGCGCTCATAGCCAATACATGTGATGCTCCACATGATGACAGGCCCGACATTGCGTGAGATGATGGGTGGTAAAGACGAGAAAGCTTGGGCTGTGCTTCGAATGTACGACACGGAGCCCTGTGCTTGCAAAGGGAGAATATTCAAAGCATTGATGGCCTGTTACGTTAATTAGTACTCCAATCATGAGAGAAAAGCGACAGGTTAGAGACACTTACATCAAGAGCTGGCGCCCATCTGCCGGCCTCAACCTGGGTCTTTGCTTCCATCATACGCAGCAACAACCCACAAGCATCACGGTTGACTTGTCGGATTTGTCCATAATACATTATGTCCGAATCGTAAAGACTGATCATGTTCTTGGCAAGCACGCCTGGATCATCCACGGCAGTCAAACTGAGGCTGCTTCCAGCTTCCACTGCCTCTGGCAGATCTTGATTTTGGTCGACCCTTGGGCGCAGGGGTTGCAGTTTCGGCATGGCACCGCCTAGCTCAACCGCGATCGCATCTGACAATGCACGGTTAATAATGTCAATGACACGGTCATAGTTCTCTGCCAAGTGGTACAGAAGCACGGCATCCGTGATCAATCCCTTATCATCCGCCACGGCAGCGGCTTGAACCGTAATAGTCTTCAAGAATTCTTGCTGGTCGACCAATTTGATCAAATCGAGACGTTGCTCAATAGCCCCCTTGAGGCGAGTACCGTCCGCCCGAATATCGCCAAGCAATTTGGCAAAGTCCCTGGTCTCTAAAATGAACTCTCGCAAGGCCTCGTGGCAGACTGATGCCTGGGACTTGCCCAGAGCACCTGGAAGATCTGCATTAAGGCAGATCAGTGTGAAGTAATCGATGGCAGCTTCAACAAATCCAGTGCGGAATTCTCGGGTGTATTGGGTCAAGAGATATCCGAAATTGATCTGGGGATATTGCTTGACTGTGAAGGAGACTGCGTAAAGCGAGAAAATTCAATGTTAGCAAGATCATAATATCATGGCAGAAGATAAGGCTTACGAATTTCTTCACCAGAAGTGTAAAAGTCGGACACGCGCAAAAGGCCATAATAGGACAGGGCGATGGCAAAATGAACGGCAGTGACTGGAGCATAGGTGCCGAGATAATGCACAGCCTGCTCAAACATTCCTCCCAATATCTGCAGCAGGAAGTAAGTTCCATAGCCACCGGGTCCTTCGTTGCCCTTGGTGAAGACCCGTTGGCCAATCTCCTGGATGTCGGTCTGAATATCCTCCAGGCCGAAGACGTCCCCTGCAACCTCTTCGGCACGATCGTCCTCTCTAGCAAGGCTAAATTGTAGCCACATCCAGTCCTCGACGGTCTGCTTCACGCCATCCAAGCGACGACGCGAGAGATCACAGCGACCAATGATCTTGTAACATGCCATTCGGTAAGGATCGACTGTATTCTCAGGTGCGTTCCGTGAGCGTTGCTGAAACTCGCCGTTGATCTTTTGCTGCAAGTCCCGGGGCAGTCTCCTGCTCTGTGCGTAGGTTGTCATGTAGGTCACAAATTTGTGATCTAAAGACCGGAACCCGCTGTCTCGACTCACATATTCAGCTGCCTCAGTCACGAAACCACATCGAAGAAGGTAGAAAATAAGAATCCAGCAGTAGTCTTGGTTCACCATTTGAAGCTCGGTGCCGTCGGGTGCCAGATCCTTCCTCGCGGCTTGAAGACGGATGTAGGCGCGAATCTTGTTGATCACGGTCGGAATTCCTCCCAATTGTGCTTCTCGGGGGTTTTTAGCAATGGCGGTTTCAACTTCATCGAAGAATGTGCTCTCAAGGAATCCCCTGGAGCCTTCGAGAATTTGCTTCTTAAGTTCGATTGCTTTGAGAGATTTGGAAGATTCTTCAAGGTAATCTTCGGCATACTGTCGCTCCTTCACTGCTCCGGGCTCCGATGGGTTCATGATGTTTGGCTTCTCGTGGACAATTCTTATCAAGGCTTGGTATGCATTGAAGAGTTGCCGAGGTACCTGAAAAATGATTAGCTGCACGAACATCCATGTCGCGGGAGGTTTTGAAACTTACATCACCACCGGCTTGTATTTCAACATAGGAAAACTCGTCGAGTACTGGATAGCATTTTCCTTGAAGCCTGGCGAGGTTCAACTGTTGAACCTTCTCGGCGTAGTGGCCCATCTTCTCCCTTTGGAATCTGAG